GGGTCGGACTCGATGATCTGCTCAGGTCCCTTCCGACCCTAGAAACTATGAAACTATGGTTGTAGTCACAGCTTTTGATCCCCTCTGCATCTCTTGGTGCATCTTCTGTATCCCACCATGCCGGCATTCTGTCATGCTCCTGCCACTTTCTGCCTCTTGTCTCACATACCTTCTCCTGCTGTTTCTGCTCTGTCTCCCACTCTCCTCTGTTATAATAACAACCAGTGATGGGATGCAGATGGGATTGATGATGAGCAGATAGGAGTTCACAGAAAAGGTACTGTCTGAGATATTGGAAGTGCAGATGGAGCATCTCATCACCCTGACTGTTTTCCAAAACAGAAAGGCTTGGGAGTTCACTGACTAGAACAGTGAAGGGTATGAAAATTTTTGGAAGAAACATGCAGAGGAATGTGGAAAGGAGGATTTAAGAGGTATATTGTTTACAGCAGGGGAAATGTCAAGGGAATGAGGGATTATAATAAGAATGTATATAGATTTATTACAGGCAGAAGACATAGAAAGGTGGATGGAATTGCATGTGCAAGAAGTAATGTGTGTAGAGAAAGTTCAGGACACATATGGTATTTGGATGGGGTTATGGAGGGCATGAATTGTGTTGACAGCAAACAAGTGGAGCACAGGTGGGGTGCAGCACCTTCCATCAATAATCCATCTGAGGCCCCACCGGGGTTTTATAATATACCATGGGTAACCAAAGCAATGTAGCAAATGCGACAAGGGGGGGGGGGGCACCTGTCTACATACAAGTGCGTTTCAGATGTGAAGGGAAGGGGCATAGAGCTGCAGAGTGCCAGGAATCCCTAAAATGCACTAGCTGTGGGGAGAAGGGACACCTATTCTGCAGTTGTCCCAAAGCCTATGCAAGCAAGGTCAGACCTGCTGAGGAACAGCATGAATCAGACTGGGACAGTGGGGGAGAAGAGAAGGGTGAGAATAAAGTAGAAATGGTGGATGAACCCCTGCAGGATGGAGAAAGGAGAAAGAAGGGAATGTAATATCTGTAATTGAGGTGGCTCGAGACGAACAGGAGAAGGGGTGCAGGAGAAAGCTCAGACACGGAGGTGGGGGAGAGGGAGAAAAAAGAAATCAAACAAGCAGAAGACATAGAGGTGGAACAAATAAAAAAGCCCAGGGTCAATGAGGGGAGAGGAAGAAAACACTAGGGAAGAAAATCAGGAAAAAGAAAACTGGAAATGAGGAGAATGAGCCGGAGCCAGATCAGCTTCCCACCATTAATTCCCCAGGCTCCACCCCAAGTGGTGAACTGGAGGCAGGAAACAACATGGAAG